CCTACTTCCGTAGTGATACTGCCTCGGAAACCCAAGGAGGGGTCGCTATGAGTCAGGGCCGACTCGATGGCATATAACAACAACAACAACAACAAATGTGGTTCTCCTACAGCATCTAGCATAATGGAATCTATAAAGAGGTACTAAATAAATATTTTCTAACAGATGATCCTACTATTCTCATGGTAAGAAGGATGAAAACCCATTATGGCACCCAGACAAGCACAACTTCAAGAAAGTAATTTCATAGTGCCTCATAGTTGTAGCAGCAAAATCTCTCCACTGAAAATCACCAAGGATTTGAAATCAACAAGGATCTGAAATCTCTCCACTGAAGAACAGTATAGTAAAACCTGTGAGAACCAGAATTTGACAGGACTACCTTGTTTTAATGGGTCTCACATGTTTTCTGCCTTTAACAGGGCACAGTCTTACCACTTTTCTATTGCTCTCTATTAGTGGAAAGTATTTGTGTTTTCTTTCTCTGACAGGTTTCTGCCTTACACAGGTTCTGGCTTTTGCAAGCTTCACTGTATGTGGATGACACGCACATGCACACCTTCAGGGGGCTCCTTCTTTACATGATGTTGGAAAGTGGTAGTGAATGAATCAGGCATGTTCATTTCCAAATTTAATAATAATAATAAACTTTTCAAATATCCAAGAACTTCACGTACAACATATTGTGGAAAAACATACAAGGTTCATGGCCTTGTACAATAAAGTTGACCATCAGAATCCTCTTACCCAGCAATTATGTTCCCTGGATATAGGATATTATGTTATATTTTCATCTCCTACATCACTCACGAATAAATGCACCCATGATGAAAGTATTTGGGCATACATTTACCTGCTCTAGAATTATGCCAGAAAGTATAAATTATTTAAGATATATATGAATTACTCTAAAACTCTCTAAGATGAATATTATTTACATTGACCACTTTAGAAATCAGTGCTGGTTGAGGAACTACAGTTCAAAAGATGCAGTCCCCTACTGGCTTGGAGAGTCTTTCTACTAACACAACTCTAAAGCACTGCCTATTCTTATACCCAGTGATTCATCTGTACTTTTTCTTTTTGAATCATCTTAATTCTTGCCCATGCCCTCTGAATTTGACCCAAATAAGGAACACAACTTAAGCGAAGACCAAAGTGCTACTACATCACCTGAATAAGATCATTCCAAACCGTGATGCTCTCTATCAAAATGTCAGGTGAATGCATCCCTTCAAAGTTATAGAAATAAAGCTAAATCAGAGATGAGAACAAGAAGAAATGAGTAAGCTCCTCTAAAATAATCAGTGCATTGAGATCCATATCTGAGATCTATTTGCACATGTTAGTAATAAGAAGAGTTAATCAAGGGAACTTCCCCCTTGCTAAGGTAGCTGCGCAGGTGAATTTAGCCTAGGAAAATCTGATCTGGCCTGCCAAGAACAGTGTCTCAGGTGAAGCAGCCAGTTAAAAACAATTGGGCATTGTTTTGGATAACAATGCTTTCTATCTATATCCAACCACAATCTGCAAAATTAATCTCTGCATCTCTCTGCACCCTGCATGCTAGTGGTGTATCCTGTACATCCCCAACCCCCACCAAAATGTTGGTAAAATGAAAAACGCACTCATCTACAGGAAACTTATGTGGGTTATCATAATAACACTAGGGCATTTAATTAATCACACTTCCTTTGATATAAATGGCCATCTGTAGTCACAGAACAGTGAATTAAATGAACCCCAATGATGCAGCAATCAGAACAATCCCCCCAAAAATATTTTGTACAACAGAAAGTTTTGATGACTGGAGTGTTGTATTTACAATTTCAACAAAAGTTCTAAGACTTGAAAGCTCAAATTCTCCTAATATTTGGTATTAGGAAAATTAGTGTTCTTCATACTCTGTTTTTAGGTTTAAAATACAAAATACTTTCAATCATAATTAGTAATTAAATAAGAAGAAAATAATTTACTTACTTCTGGAAACCCTCACAAGTTCTGACACATTGAAGACTCCAGATTTTACAAAACTATCCTCAAGGTATCCTGAAAATAAACATCAAGGGGAAAAAGATCAACATAAGCAGAAAGTAAAATAAATTATTAAACACTAGACTTCACTGAAATGTGTTTAAACCAAAGGTTAAAACAAAAACCAAGTATGCGTGCAACAAGGAGTAAATGGGAGACTCTTAAATGCAAACTGGATCTGTTCAAACAAAAGCAAAACGGCAATGGTATGTACTCTCCTAAGGAATTTTTTCTCAACTCTCCTAAATGTACAGGGCGATTTGTGTGGTTTCATTTTCCATGTCCTATATGCAGAGAAGGAAGGTTGGGGCACTCATTGAATGCAGTCAGCCCAGTAGCACCTGGTAGACTAAAGTCCACCCATTAAAAAAAAAGGAAAACCACAACCACAATTAACACCTTGTTGGAAATACTTCAAAGATCTCTTGAAACCACTGTTCTTTCACAAATCCTTCCCTGATTAAAGAACAGTAAGCTACTATTACCAGAACTCCCACCCTTATTTGAGTGTCACAAATCACACAAAAGCAGGACTTGTACATACAGCAAATATTTTGCATCAGCCCATTTCCATGAACCTTTAATACACTCCACAATATCCCAGTGCTTCCTTCACATTTGCTACTACTTTCTAGGACTGCTCATTTCTTGCAAATGGTAATGAATCCAGGCCTCTGTGAATGCACAAGACTCTATGTAACATCTAGACACAGGGTCAACAATGGCCCACAGTAAGTTCAGACCCATTAGGTCACTGGTCTAGCAATCTCCAGGACAAAAGTTGAGGACTCCCAGAAACACGTAGTCAATTAACTCCCCCAGGTTTTTACCTTCCTGAAGGAAGTATATGGGGGTGAGGAAAGAGACTACCTGAGGAAGGAGGATCAGGTTTACTGTCTAGGTCTCTCACGTGGAACAGGATGACAATCCTCAGAACTGAAATACTTCTGGGAAGAAAACTCTAGAATTCAAGAAAGGACAATCCAATTGGATTTTCCATAAAGCTTTAGGGCTGACCACAGGATTAGTCAGTGCAGGGATAGATAAGCAACATGAAGCACTTAAATCAGCTGGAATTGAACTCAGCACCACAGCTGACTCGTGGAGTACTGGCCACACTAGACCTCTTTGGCCTCAGATTTCTCATCTATAAACAGAGATAATAAAATTATCTCCCTCACAGAGTTACTATGAAATGAATACTGAAAGTTTAAAAAAAAAAAAAAAAAAAAAAAAAACTCACAGCAAGCACTGATTAGATGTTCCCAATAAAATAAGATTGGCCAATGGAGCTAACTATCAGCCTACCAAAATTATGTGTGCTGGGCTCCAGACCACCCCAAATTATTTGTAAATTTTTATTTAGAAATTTTACCTGAACAAGGGTCTGTGAACAGAGGAACCATGTATGTCAGAACACATATCCTCTTAAGTGGAAAAAAAAGTGATTTAGTAATGAGAAGATCTCAGTTGGCAATAAAGCTCTGGTTTCCTGTTAAGTCATTACACTGAAAAATACATATGTACATTTTAAGAGGATAATAACAAGTATCCCCAGTTGATGAAGCTCTATTTTAGGAAACTCCTACTTATTGAGCAATTAATTTTTCACCAGGTTGAATTCATTTCAGTGATTATTGAGAAACTGACGTAAACAACATTGTACAAGGTGCTAAGTGCCATGAATACAAAAACAGGATATTGACTCCCTTTGCATCACTGAAGATTAGTATTTTTTTAATCTTCTGGGCTGTAGGTTATCATTTTCCCCAAGGATTTTTTGGTGGTGGTGCTGATTTTGTTATTGTTTTAAAATAAAATTTGTTATACTTTATTTTACATATGATAAACTTTCTACAGTAGCTATATTAAGGTAAAAATTTTATTTCTCATGACTATAGCTCCTGTACTTTATTTAACCAGTCAGACAAGATGATTTGCTACCACCCAATAGTACTCAGCAAACGTCTGGCCCTGTATCTTTCTAACGCACAGGGTTGGCTTACCTAATAAGCAAGGTAAGCACAGGCTTACTTGTGCTTATTTACAAATCTGTAATGAACATTTTCACATGGAACTCACCAAATCTTTAGTAAGGAAGCTCATGCTTACCTTGCTCACTGGTTACTTTGTCCCTGTCAGGGATTGTGAATTTAAAAAGAGGCACTGATTCTATAAGAAGGTGCTGTGGGTTTGGGAGAGACAGATGCCAGCCGTACCTAGAAGGCATGAATGTGAAATAATGTGAAATTGTTCATTACAGATGAGTATGTAAGCACGAGTAAACTCATGCTTATCTTGATTACTGGTAATCCGACACTGCTCACGTAGCTCCCTCTGAGCCACATGTCCCCCTCACATCCTTCCTTGTTTAGCTCCACCACCTACTCCACAATTGTTCCCTCCCTCTTCTCTCTCATTCCCTGTACCAGTCAGAAATAATCTCTTTCTCTGTACTCACACAGCTCCTAGTTTATACCTTTTTTATGTGTTGTTGTTATGTGCCTCATAGCGATCCACTTGCATACCCAGGTTCCCCAAACTATCTGCTCTCAAGTCCAGTTTCCCTTACCAGATCATCAGCTCATTTATTTAGAGGAGTGACTTTGTTTTGCTCTTCTCTGCATCTCCCACAACAACTAATTCCGTGTCCTCTATTTAAAGGAAGCATTAAATAAACACTAAGAAAAAAAAATCTTAAAATTGCAACTTTTTAAAAGTAGGTCATGAATTGATATTATCAGTCATCTTGTAACAGGATGGAAATAGATGTTAAGATACTGAAAGGTAACTATTGATCCATGTAGTTCCAGGAACTCACTGATGAGGACTTAGGCTTTTGAGTAGGATGGGAAGGAGCAGTGACTGGAATCAGGTTCTATCCCTGATGCTGTTGTGTAGTAATGTATAGTTTTAGGATTCAGCATAAAATAGTGACCAAGGAAATAGTGTTTAATGTATATAGAATAAGAGCTCAAAACTATTTGTAAAATAAGTCAATGAATGAGTGAGTAGTTAACATTTAACATAATAACAGTTCAATATAGAGATCTAATAGAAGTTCGTTTCCTTATTAATCCAGTGTTTCTTTTGTACATGAGCAGTCAGGGTCCATTTAGTCCTAAAGTATGTCCATTCACATGGCGTAGGGTGTGAGCCTGATCAGAAAAGAGCAAGGAGCCACCTCAAAGTTCAGCAGGAAGAGAGTAAGGCAGTCAGATGTGGAAAATTCAAAGGCTCTCTCACAGAAAAGGAAAAGCCATAAAGAATGAAATAAGGTGGTACCCCCACTATCCATGCCCAATTCCCTGAGTTCTAAGGAAAGGGAATGCACAAGGCAAACTGAATGTTATTTTCTGAAACTCTGAAAGGCACTGGAAATATGTGGGAAATGCTCTAGCACTCACTGGAGAATATGGAACACCAGAGGTCCCATCCAAACCAAAACCAAACTCATTGCCGTCGAGTCGAATCTGACTCATATCAACCTCTCCTTGGGTTTCCGAGGCAGTATCACTACAGAAGTAGACTGCCCAATCTTCCTTCTGAGGAGTGGCTGGTGGGTTTGAACGAGCAAACCCACCAGCCTTCTGATTAGCAATCAAATGCCTTAGGCACTACGCCAGCTGAGCTCCTAGAGGTCCCATTGTTGTTGTTATGTGCCTTCGAGTCAGACCCAATTCATAGCGACCCCTCCTTGGGTTTCTGAGGCAGCATCACTATGGAAGTAGATGGTCCCATCTTCCTTCCAAGGAGTGGCTGGTGGGTTTGAACCGCCAGCCTTCTGGTAAGCAGTCAAGTGCCTTAGGCACTACGCTACCAGAGCTCTAGGGTTCTACATTTCCATGGAGCACAGTGAGACTTTAAATAAGGGAGGGCTCCCAGAACAGATGTCCTATGAGAGGGGTTGGTAGGGATCAAGCAATAGAGTATGTTAGGACAAGCCCTGGAACAGACAGCTGCCACTTTCCTGCATCTTTGTACACAAGAGGCCTTTGCAGGGAACAAGCCTCACCTAAGTAAGACAAGGCAAGTAAAGAAAAAACGGTGGATGACACAGTACTGGGATAGCTAGTAGTGTTTGCTCACAAGCATGCAGGAGATGCTGCTTGGGGATTCTCACAAGATAACTCTACCCAGAATCTTGCAGAGGGTCAGGAGTCCTTCACTAGTACATAGGGTAAAACTCAGAAAAAAAATGCAAGTTATTGCCATTAACACAATCCCATCTGTAACTCCCAGGCCGCTGGGGGTCTTCAGAAACTCAGTTTGCACATGTTATAGAGACCACTGTGAATCTAAATAGCCTATATAAAGGGCAAGGATCTTCAAGCAATTTGGAGACATTCATATACTGCATTCCCTTCATCTAGTGAAGGAAATATGAGCATCTTGGAGGCAGAGCAGCTGCTTAATGGTTACACAGCAATATTACACAACAGCTTAAACCAGGGAAAAAAACAACTGTGCATTTATGTGAGGCTGTATTTACACTACATGTATGCTTTCTTAAGAAATAAAATTGAGGAGGAAATAAAGACCTCTGCAAACAGAAAATTCTCAAAGGCAATTTCAAGTTACATTATTTTACTTCTTTTTTTTTTTATTTTTCTCTAAGAAAAGCAACAGTAAATCACTAGTCAGAAGTTAATATAGTGTTTAACCTCCTTTACTAACAAAAACAGAGGGACACAATGGCATATCTAACTGTTAATATCTCAAATTATAATCAGCACCATTTGAATGTTAAACAACATTTACACACAAAATCCAAAGGAAGATGGATAACACTGATTTTTAAAGTCTACTGTGTTCTATTCTTGAAATTAAAAAAAAAAAAAGAAAGAAAGAAATAAGAGCCACAGAAAGCAGTTATTAAATTCATAAGAGCTGTCTTCAAGTATTTGAAGGACTGTTAATGTAGATGGTGAATTCGGCTTATTCTGCATAGTTCCAGGAGCTGGTTTTTGGCTCAATAAACAGATTTGTATCCAATGAGCAAAGTCCTAAAAAGG